CAAAAATAAAGAATTGTTTTCCTGTTTTTTTATCTATCTGTAGAGCAGTAAGGCCATCTTTAATTTAGTAATGTGAAAGTGAAAGCAAGCCAATCTTTACTACTATAATTGCATTCGCGAGTTAGTGTCTAAAGCACCTTTACTCAATAGTGTCTGTGGACAGTTGGGTGATCCACTGTATTAAGAGCACCGTGATATTCTGATATTAAGTTACCTATATGATTTGACAGAAGTATAGTTTGAAGTCCAGCATATCTTTATTATCTCAACAATCTGAGGTTGTAAATTGTTTATAACAGAAATAGCAAAGATGTTAAGTGTTGTCAACAAAGAGCGAAATTGTGTTCATGGACTCCAAAGGAAAGTCCGTTATATATAAATTATACAACAGAGACAATGGGGATCCTTGAGGGACGCTCGTCTTAATTTTCTTTATAGATGACAAAAGGTTTTAGGGGTTTATCAAGAACACACTATTTGATGAAAAACTAGCTACAAAGTTTTATGATTTCAACTGCAATATCATATTTTTTTAATTTGACAATCAACCCGTTACTGTACTTTAACAAACGCCTTAGCATTATTAAACTAGACTATTCCAGTAGATTTCACTTCATTGAGAGCTTTTTATAGTTTGAGAAACTCTTGCTGACTGATAATCAATGGAGGGATTTTCTTCGAACTGTTCTTTGGAAATTATATTTTTAGGCGTAACTATATTTTTGAGCCTTGCCATTACATTTTTTTTGCTATTTACATATAGTAGGCAGCAAACTTATAGGCTTCCAATTCTCAGGCAATGTTTTATATTTACAAAAACTTAATAAGTAAGTATCAAGTATTGTTCCACAATTAACCTACAAAAATAATCTTTATAGTTGAATGTTCAAGTTTACTTTGACATATTCTTTAATTCGTGAAGAAAAAGAGTATTTAAAGTAGTGAACACACTATATTAGCATATAGAGATGCTCGATAAGCCGTCAGCATTTTTTATATATTGTTTAGTCTCACATGTGAGTTAAGTACGTTCTTGTGTAAACTATCAGCAAACTGTCAAGTACAATTAGCTAGCATCATAAGTTTCGACCAATGTTTCGATTGTGTTCATAATGACATCGAAAAACTTGGCCAAAACATGCAAACCGGCTATAATAATGATTTACCGTTATATTTCTATGGATAGAAAGACAGCACTGCTAATATAGTCACAACTAAATTACATGCAGTTAAGCTCGCCTAAGGATATAACAACAGATCAATACATGCAGTTCGAGTTTAAATTATTCAAGTATGATAGTAGCATAGCGCCGTGAAACATTACCTCTATAACTAGATCTCATATAGAAGCTCTAACTCACGAGACTCCAATTACTTTCATCAGCCTTTTTGGGTCTTCGTTAAGATTTGAAAGAAAATATAAAATTATCAGCTGCGAAATTACCGTTTGTACTACACTTTATCTAACTGACGTGCTTTTCATCCAAAAAATTTAACAATGCATCATTCAAAATGATAAGGCTTATCTTCGAAAACATTTAGGATTGCACACAGTTTTTTCTGGTATATAACTACTTCGAGATTATAATCACATTACATTGTTGCATTAAAAAGTGTTGGATTAAGTAAACCATCGTCTCTTCAAGATAGAGATGAATAAAAGAGAGTAGAAAAAAAACGTGTCTATAGAAAGATTTAAATTAAAATTCTTTAAGCTGGGTATTAATACTGTGGTCATGGTCTCTAAAAAAATTAATAGGCCTACAATAACTCTACTTTTCTATGGCTTTATAGTATTATATTTTATTAACTTTTGTGGTAGAAACAATTGAGGTACTTCAACCATTCAAACGCCCATTGACTAAAGTCATGAGGAAAATTATAATTTTGCCGCTTTAATTTTGCACCAATTAAATCTAGTAAGGTAAAATCACAACGTCGATAAGCATAGAATCGATTAACTAGGACCTTTTTTGACGCTAGCGTTTACTGAGGATGCTAGTAATTGTGTTATCAAATTCCGCTGTCGTTTTTCAAATAGTCGACTAAGTTGTCGATTATGTTACTCATAGAATAGATTACTCTCGTCATGCAGTGCTGATTCAGGAAGTGAAGTTCCATTATTTGTAAACGAGTACCAGGTGAAAAACTTAACATGATGGTTTGCAATAAATTATGTATACATGTAACGATATATTTTTGGAGTTTTGTCACATTAAAAAAGTAATTTGATAAAAAAAATATTTCAAAATATAAACATAATGGTACATAGATGCTCAGATAGGACGGTGAGTATATATCAAGTACGTCGAGAAAATAAATACAGCAGTTATTATTTTTATAACTGTTTTATTATTAAATTATTAAATATTATTTAATTTATATTCTTTTAATTTTATTGAACTTCAAAAAGCGTTTCAACTTTAATGATATTTGTTTTTTTCGCTAATTGAGTTACCATACTTTAAACACTTAATTTTAATGGTGCAATTAACTTATTTTAATTATAGTTTGGAAATATTGAAAAAATTGAAAATTATTGTATAAGCACAGGTTTACTATATTTAAGATGTACTACATTAAGTATATCTCATTAGGAGACATGTCATGCAGGTCGGTGATCGAGCATTTGGGCAGCCAACAAGACAATGGGTGACATTTTGCTGTATATGGCCACTTAGGCTTTTAGGCCCTATTCCATATCAGATTTAATCCATGCTTCGTTACTTTATGTATTTGTTGAGCTGCCAATAAAATTGGACCGTATTTTTTGTAAGTTCAAATTAAATGGATGTAAACCAAGTGAGAATAGTAAACTAAATCTTCTAGATCTCGTTTTGTCGTTCCTTCGTTAGTTTTTGTATTTGATTAAAATATAAAATATATGTCGCCTATAGCGACATGCTTTTTATGAATTGATGGATGTGTATTTAGTGATTAAAATGGACTAGATCTTCTAGATTTTCAAGATTGGAGTTTAAAGATCTTGGACTGTTTATTTCTCTTTGAATTCCGTTTGGCCACATTGCATAATATTGGCAATTAGTGTACGTTATATCTGAGCATAATCCGTTGATTGAGATAATTTAAACGGACTATAGATATTCTACCGCAAAATATAATCCTAGAACTTATTCTATATCATTCGATTGATTAGTTAAATTGCTGAGTGGTATTTTTGTTTAAATATTAATTTTAATTTATTAATAATTTACCGCATTCATCATATATTGTTGTGACTTTTTTGTTGACTTTGATGAAAAATTTTTAATAACCATAGTACAATCACCTAAACAAAGAGGCAAAAATAATAATTAATGTTAATAACGTAATTAGTTAAAAAATTTTAACGGATTATTTAGATAATCAATAATAAAATCGCACACAACAAATCTCATAAAACTATACATCATCCAGTTTTTGGCAACCCAAACAAGTTTAAGTACTTTAAACTATTTCCTATTTTTTTAATAATTATATTAACACATACAAACGCGAATACGAGTATATAAGTATATAATATAAGAAGTTAACTTTATAATGAATTTTGTATCTCTCATAATGATCACGTACTCGTATATGTTTGCAGACAATAGAACAATGACCGTTTGTTTATAGTGTAGATACATTTCAGAAGAGGTAGTCGACAACCTGTTGATGTTGCGCATGCCTTCAAATTATTTTTAATAACTTTTCAAAATGCTTCTCTATTTCCACAAATGACGAAATGAGTCAAGCACTACCTATACTACACTTTTAGCTGGCATGATTTGAGCAAATCTTAACTATTTATTTCTGAAACATATTAATCGTTAATAGTCGTATTGTATTAATATATATGTAGTATATGGTTGGAGTCAAAATTTTACTGATTAACAAAGCTTTTATATGTGTACGCCTTGGCGTAATTTTTCTAAAATACATCTATATAGGTTCCAAAGAAACTAAACGGACTCAACAAGGTATGAAAGTCATGAAGAACACAATATATATGTAGTATATGTGATGTGTTCCAATCGCAGATTGATTGTAGTATGCAATATAGACGATAAAATAAAGAGGATGGCATAGATATAGTTTTAATAATATTAATTTATGTTAGATCGTGATACTGATGATGACTCTCAAGGAGAGTCGAAATATAGAGTATAATAAAAAATATTAAACGTTGAATTAATTAACAAAAAGTGACCTATAGCCGGATTGAAATATATATAACAACCATTGTATGAATTTTAGTTTAAGTATAGTATTTGTCTAGTATATGCATACATCTATGTTTGGGTTTAAGATCTTCTCTCCAAACAACAGAAGTAGTAACTAATGAACATTGGTTCTTTTTAAAAAATTTTCTAATGACCATAATTTAGCCTTCCGAATCAGTAATAGTTCTTAATTGTTTTGATATTCTGTTTATTAACTTACAACATAAATGTTGTTGAGTAGTTCCAACAGAATTACTCAAGAACGATCACTCATCCATTCTAAGCAAAAGCACACAGAAGAATAACCTATTGTAGCGCATTTTACAGTGAGTGTAGACCGACTGTGATTACATGGCATTAGACATGTCTTTGATCATATCGAAGCTAATTAGCTTTATTTTTCGCCGAAGTGAAAAAATTCTGAATAATGTCATTAGCAACAGCGGTGTTAATCCAACAACAATTATAGTTTCATTTTTACAACAACAACAACTAATAAGCTCAGTTTAATTTGTCAAAGATTTTTGAAATGGAATTAATTTATCTGGTTTTAATATATTTTATGATTTCACAAATGATCATAAATGTTTCTGATAATATGTTCGAATCGGGTGGATATTTCAAACATAAGAAAGTTGTTCTAAACTTGATGCAATTGCGCCAAGCCCGCCATATTTTATCAAGTCAATATCAAATCGATTTGATGTCGTTGTCGATGTTAAATTGATGTCAAATTTATATGAAACGATATTTAATCAATTATTACTCTTATTAAATTTAGAGGTAGTTTCATTTAACCTGTTGCGATTTTGATCGTTTTGCCCTCACACTCCCTCAAATTGACTTCGAAATTTCGAATAACTTCGAAACTTCGAAAATAGAGTTGTGAAATCACTGAGATTCAAACAATCGAGATATTCGAATTTTGATTGCCTGCTCAGATAAACTCGCTCGCGTAATTTTTACTCTGTTTGATTTCTGACGCACGTTTTCCATAGCGTTTTGCAATCAATCGACGCTTTGTGCTTTCTTCGATGAATCACTGGTTTCTCAGCCACTGAAGATCGGTTCTCCGTCTTTGGTGACAAATGCAACAGTTTTGATTTAGATTCCGTGCCGTTCACAACGACTTTGTCGCTGCTGCCGTACCGCTTTCAGTGCTTTCGAATAAATTTTAACTTATTTTCTTGGCAAACGCTCCTGTGCTGCGTGTAGCTTCGCGTGTAAAAATAATTTCAATTTGCGGCTTATTTATATTTAGAACTTTTACGGAAGTGTAAAAGTATCTTTGAAGTGTGCATTCTCTGCGATTTTCTTTCAAATAATTTTGCAACGAAATCAAAATATTGATAAAATGCAGAAACTTGAGCAATTAAACAATTTTAAATGTCAGATATTTTTGTCAGGTAAAGTTATTGTTAAAATTATTGTTATTTAATTCTGACATTGTTTCAGATACTAAAGCTTTCATTATAGACTATTGAATTCAAATTTTTATACTTAATACTGAAATATTATATTAAAATTAGTGTTCGTTAATGGTATATATAACAGTAATGATTCCCCTGAGTGAAGGTGTGACTTAGTATATATAGTACAGCAGTTATACTCCTATGTTATGTGAATCTCTCTCCTAGCCTTTTAGTTTGTGAAAAAATAATACTAATGATAATCAGGGAAGAGTGCGAAGGAATTAAAATCAATTGATTACTTAATCAATGGATTTAAAGTATAAGAATAATGACACCTTCTGCCCCAAGTGTTAAAGAGGAGAAATGTGAGAATTATACAATTACCAATATTAAAAATTATATATGTTTAAAAGTGAAGAATTCTATAATTCTTTCATATAACAAATTATCTTGAAAAAATATAATAGTTTTTTAAATAAGAAAAGTTTAAATAAATATTTACTGAATTTATAGGTGATAAGTAAAAATAAAAAAGAATTAATGACTTGATTGTGACTTTCTATTGTTGAAAATTAATATTTAATTATGAAGTATTAACTAAAAATTCTGTTAATATAAAAAACATTTTTATTTGATATTACACAATTAGATAATTATTTTATTCCCCTAGACAAATATTTCAACGAATTATTTTCTTCAAGATAAATCCAGGTTAACATACACTATCGATGCCTTCATCTTTTAGCTAATAATGTGCGTTTCTTACAAAAACCATGCAATTTTTTATTTAATAATATAATTCTAATTCTGAATCTAATTTATTAGATATAGCAACTATGTTTCAGTGACATATACAAGGACATATACAAGTACGTTTTTGCGGTTCAAGTCCACACTAAAATATTTGAAGACTTTTTCTTTAAATAAAAGTATTTTTTAAACCTTTATTTCAGAAACCCACCTTAAATGAGATCCTGTATATGCTGTATTTCTAAATTCTGGAGTAAATATATACTATGTATATATTGCATGAGTTTATTTTTTTCATTAGTTTAATAATTTCAATAGAAGCTAACAGGATCTGAGACAGTTTTGTTCATTAGATAAAAAAACAGGGTTTTGAATGCCCAGTGGAGCATACCACTTACTTAGAATTTGAACGGTGTTAGCCATTATTTTATTGTAATAATTATATATATTCATACAACTTTCTGTTTTACCTATATATTAATGTTGATATCAATAATCATACGTGGTACAAATGGTGATACGTATATAAAGGGTGTCCGCATTTTTCTTGGTAAGGTTTTCAACAAAAATTTCATTTATTAACCTCTTGACCTCTTGCCATTTTTCGAGTAACTTTATAATACCACCGATGTACAACTTCTATGATTTATCGGCGAAAAATTTGCCAAAGCGATGTTTAGCGGCTTTTTGGGATCAATTTTTTAGTTGCAGAGAGTGAAACAAATGATAGTCCGTCAGTGCAAGATCTGGTCTATGCGGTGAATGCATCAAAACTACTCAACCAAATTAAGTTAATTTGTTCAAAATTATTAAAGATGTTTGTGTTTTAGTTTTCTAATGATGGAACACTATTCTATTTCTATTGATTAATAATTCTGGTCGCTTTTCCTTGATTGTTTCCTTGAATTAAGCATTGCACCTGGCTAAATCAGCTTATAATAGACAATTATATATTTTTTTCACGATTGATCTTTTCCGTTTTCAGCTTTTTAAAGGTTTTTGAAGTGTCGGATAGTAGGTTAATTGGTAGGAAGTCTAGGTGATAAGATCTTAACTCTGCTTTGGAATCAATAAAATCATAGATACTTTTCAAATTTTTAGATAGTATCAGAGAAAAAGAATATGCTGTTAAAAATAATAACATTAAATTGTCTAATTGAGAAGTTATTTGAGCATTTTCTCACTCAATTTATCATGCCATGAAGTTTTTTTGGTTAAATCTCAAGAACAACAGCTTTTAAACTTTACAAAAATTTATTTTGAGAGGATCACTTACTATTAAGAAAAAATACTATTTTGGAAGAAAGTAAATTAACTGTTAAACTGTTGACATGTTCCATCTTATTTTCGTATTGAAGGATCAGTTGGAATTGAGGACTTGAATTTTTTCGCAGCTCTCTACAAACTATAACTATTTTCTATAAGGGGTTCAATACATTCATGATAATTTTGCAAAACTTTGTTTTTGTTTTCTGCTCAAGTTCATCACATATTTTAAGAAATTTTTCTTTAATTAAATATAATTAACATATTCTTAAAAAAAAATCATTTTTGCAAGTCACTATGACATATAATAGAAAATCTCTGCTATTAGAATTGATAAAAAACCTCTATAAATATTTTTTTCCATCCAAATATTAGTAAATGATATTTAAGATTAACTTCAAAATTAACATTTTACTCACTAATAGTACTCAGCATCGCAGAAAATGTTTCATTAAAAAAATAGATAACGAAAGGATATTTGGTCATTTCCCAGTTATTTCTTATAATTTTCGAAATACATAACAATTCTTAGCTTTTCTTAACCTGTCTTCATTTGTCCACTAATGAATAAAATTATTTTATTACTTGAATAATACATGCTATGTCATCAGTTGGTGATAATGACAAATATTCCAGATACCATTATTCATAGCCATTTTTATAATTTTTAAATATTTTTTTTAGAAAATATATTAAGTTTGTAGCAAAACAGATGTTTTGAAATGAACTTACAACTTATATTACCTATATGTACGTATATATACAATACCATAACCAATAACAGATTTTTAAAACATATTGTATTAAAATCTAAAATTTTATAGTTTACACATGTAATTAGTCACCTAATTTATAGAATGTTACGGAGACATTTGTTTTCCTAAGTTTGTTAGCAAATTTTAACGCTGATTACTAACCTCAATGAATTATAGTTTGGATTTAGTGATTGCGTTCAAAAATCGTAAGCTATGTTAATATACATACCCAAAAGCGAATGATTTTCAAATACTTTATGAATAGTTAAATACTCAGGAATACAAAAACGAGTTACATAGCCAACCAATTAAAATGAGTTGTATTCTTATGATTCTTGTGTGTTGCAAACAAAGTCATACATTTTAAATGAGTGTATGCTTGACCCTAAAAGTGTCAGAACTTTGAAAGAAATCTGAATTGAAAAAAATAATGTACATAATTAGCTATATGTTACAGTTATGCTTAGTATAGTAAGTAAGTAAGAAAACCTAGTTTATTATTTCTATAAGTTTTTAAGATTGTTTTTCTTAAACTTAAATTTAAAGCATTACTTCATTTATTATTATTGCCATTATTTTATTGAAAAAAAATATTTAATGGTCGATTTTAAAGTTGGAATTTAAGCTCGAATACTGATTTAAATCCTACTTAAGTCATCAACTAAGTTGGCTTAAATGATACTTAAGTCAATCTTAAGACTTAAGTTATACAGTCACCTTAACATTAAGTTAAGCAAGTTATCACATCTACTTCTTTCCTCTGATATTCTCAATATTATCACGTTATAACTATATTCATCTACTATATCTTGTGTATATGATAAAGTATCATTCATGAATTTTTTTAATTTAATCAACTGTCGATTCGAAAAGTAGCTATCGATACTACAGGAAGAATATAATCAAAAGATCATAATCCAACCAACATCACAGGACTCTTTTGGTATATAGAACGTCGTCTTACTATGAAGAATTACTGCATTAAAATAGGATTTATATCGAAATTTATTATTTCTCCATAAAAAGCATAAATATTAAAAACATGGCATCGTCTATTCATAGCATCGTCTAAGATAATTATTTTTGGTGCGTTCAATTATTGTTTTAGAAAGGATAATGATATATAGGCGATCCCATGTCCTTTACTATGATATGTCATCTGAATAAATATAAAGGTCTCTTTAGCGATATCGTTTGAGTACAGACGATATTTTTTAGATCTCAATTATGGGTAACATTTAAATTATTAGTGGCTATTATATGAGGTGTAATAGCCAGTAACGATTCTTTGCCAGTTTAAAGTAAGTAGTATCGTGATAATCAGTCTATTGGAATTGTTAGCACCGTTTCTTTTTTGAGATTTAACAATTGGTGGAATTTATTAACTAAACAGAAAATTCTACAGATCTGCTAAGTAAAAGATAATAAAATTATTTTTTAATAAAATAGTGTTGTATAGTTTACAGTTTGGATACCATACGGATAACAAATATTAGATTTATATTTTTAATTTTATGGTTATACTTGAATGTTTATGTCCCAAATAATAAATCACAGATCAGCTGGAGCCGGTACAATTAGTGACTGCTCTGAGTTTACATTCTATATCTTTATGGTTATTGTTATATGCGGGGTATATAAGGTGTTATCAAAATAATACTTTTGTAAACAAACTTAGGTGGGTTAAATATTTGCCGTTGCAATTATAAAGTCATCATGTGATAATTTATACTCTTTTCTTTTGGTACGATGTTGAAATCTTTTTATATTCGATACAAGTTCAAGATTTTCAATTAGAATAATTTGTTTTGTTTACACTAGCCATGTTTTGGACTACATAGATATATGCTAAGATGCTTGAATTTTATTTATTCGTTAATGAATGTGGCAAGAATGTTGCAGTGCGTATTAAAAATTAATATTAAATTTAAAGTTAACATTTATTTTTATTTATATATTATGTTTTTTGTGCTATTTTTGATATAACTCAATAAAATACAACAAACTTAAAACCTTACAAAGCTTAAATTTGTCTTTAAATGATACCATAATATAATATGATAACATATATTCATAGAGTACTAACGTAGATTACACACACACACACATTATTATTTATATATACCCGTATTATTAGTATTTTTATAAATATTTTATGCACATTTCTATATATACTATATATTTGGATAATGATTCATGTTGACATCTGAAATCTAACACATTTGATGGTTTTGTTAATCACATTTTTTTCAAAGAATTGCATTGCAAAGATTGTGGGGATTTCTTCAATAAATAACAATTGATTTTGCCATTAGGGAGTTTCTGCTTAATAGAATAAATTTAATAATATTTATTAAAATTTCTTGAAATATTAAACTATTACCTAGGTACTAATAGCCGTATTTCATTCAAATTAATATTACCAAACAATTTTTATCTATTAAGAGACATTTCCACACATACCACAGTGACAAATAGGGGCAACTTTTTTAATTTAAAATACATGGGCTGGCAGTTTTCAGTCCACACATTGACATCTACCATATGTCAAGATTCAGGTCAATATCTGCATTTGTCTAATACTTGCGTTTGTTCTACAATCATCAAGAATTTTTTTTAGCGATTTTTAGAATGTCTGATTTTGTTGAGTAATAATATTTTTGTTGGAGAAACATTGATAATATTATATGAGGCCTCCGGCGTTTTTTGAAAGAACCAATTTAAATATTAATATCAACTGATAACCGCACCAAGTAAATCAAAAATTTGGTGTTAAGAAGTCTTTGATTACCAATTGAAGACTTCGGTTAACAATTCATTTAAATCATCCCAGACCATTTGAAGATGTTTTGTGCCTAAAAAGAGTGAAATTTCTTTGGGTGCCGCATGGCAAACATTTCTGGATTTTTGTTCCACAATAATGGATTGTTCTCACGACCATTTTACCAAAATATCAACTCATATTCTTTCACAGCTATCAAATTCGCCTGGTTTAGCACGGTGTGATTTCTGGGTAGCATTGTGTGATTTCTGGGTAGCATTGTGCGATTTCAAGCTACTGCTCTGGGGACACCATCTGTACACAATTAAGGAGATAAGAACCCAATGTCAGTGAGCTTTGAAGACTATTCCGCAAATAGATTTTAACAATTGCTTTTAAGATTGGAATAAGTTTTGGCATAAGTGTATTGTGTCGTGGGGGAAGTACTTTAAAAGCAAAAAAATGGATTTAGAAAAATAAATAAAGATTTTAAAAGTTATAAATAACTTTAACTTAATTTTTGATTACAGTGTTATGTATCTTGCATTTATTTAAATTAATTTGACAAAAAAAACATCGAATACGTCAAAACAACTGAAATGTACTCAGTGGTATTTTGACTCATAGAAATGATAAACTAATTACTAAGCATTTTATTAATAAACATAAAATATTTATTTGGTAACAAGGTTTACAACGATGTTAGATACTTCGTTTTAGAAATACTTAATTGTTTAGTATTACCAAATTGTTCATTTTAAATATATTAAACCTATAAATTATATAAAATTTAAGATCTATTTTTGCGCAATTAATGGTAAAATTGTGATTTGTCAAATATTCGATTTAAGGATCCACTACACAGGAATGCTAGATATACTTGAATTACTTTTCAATATTCTTCAGTTAGAATAAGTGCTTCTTTTTTAATTATTTAATAAGCATATATTGTATATTTGATGTTTTTTTTAAAATATATTGTAGACTATATAACTTTTAAGAGAAAAATTTGAATTCTAAATATAATTCTAGATATCTTCTAATGGCAACAAGACTATTATTTGGTTAATGTAAGGTATTAAAGACGTTATTTGGTGTTACCACTGAGTTACGATGGTTCAGTACCAATAAGATAAATCGAACCCGCTAGATACTAAGCCTATCTGCTCTCCTCTCTGCCCTTAATTATTGGAGTACGGTTGTTAAACGTGGCTGTAATCTTTCATATTCAAGTTCAAGTCATATGTTATAGTGACTTTTGATGCTTTCCAACTACTGCATACCCAAAGTACTTCGAATACAATGTTTTTTTTAACAGAACTAAAGTGTATTTAAAAATTTCTCAATGCCAATGTGTATCTGAATATAGGTACACCTATATATAAGTCAAACCCCTTATATTTACAATTAAAAAAAAAAAAAATAGGTACTTTCCTGGCCGCAGGTCTGCGTCTTTCGCGCATTAGTTCACTACTACTTTTTTTACAGCGTTGTACCTATAGTTCTCTGTTTGTTCTGTTCTCTGCAGTTCTCTGTTAAAATAAACTCTTCCATCTTACAGCTTTTAAGTAATCACTCACGAGAATCAATTGCTAGAATAATAAGTTATGCCTTTGCCAACACAAAATCCATTAAACTGATATTGCACGTGTCCAAATCTAATAATAATTAGAAATTGATTACGTATCGGAGCCATTAGCGTTCGAGAAATTTCACTGTTCGGTGATAGATTGCCTAACTAACGTTAATAGATTGCTAACGTTAATAAATGACTCGTACTTTTTGCATTTGCTACCAATTATTTAGCCATATAATTTATTGAAGAGGAAGTGCTACGCTAAAAGTTTGTTTACATTCTTATCTGTCAGATACTCATATTAACGTAATTTTGATTTTTGCAACATTTTATAATAGAAACAATTTTGAAATGCTATCATTCACTGAGACTTTATGGCTTCGGCATTTGATCGAAGAACTGCAATTATTGATAAGATATGTAAAGATAAATTTCTAATAGGTTTGCATAGATACAATTTATTTCTCTTTGTAATTGTATAGGTGGTATCATATTACTTTAAAATCGACACAGAAGTGCTGCTTTCGCCATTATCAGTATTCATTACGTATTTAAAAAAAAAATGTTTCACATTTCTCATTTCAGTTCTAACCGTCTTGGTGCATGGATCACAGTGCCAGTCGTATTACTTTAATTTGGGCCAAAATCAACAGCACTTCCTGAGTGAGGAAATTTTCAGTAACAGCAATCACACAGACATATTGAATTCCATTTCTGATTTTAATGAAGAAGTGTTCGAGGATAAAAATCACACAATTATCGTTGTCAAAAATAGTGAGTATCAAGCAATTGTTGAAGTCGTGTGCAAATACATTAACTAACTAATATTATAAAACATAAATTATGTATATTATATAGTGAATCACAATGTCAAAAAATATGGTTGATGGATAATATGAAATATATAAAATTGCGTATAAAAATTGTGAAAAAATAAAAATTTTATACTAAGATTTAATTATTTTTAATTATTTTTTTTAAATAAATTGCTTCCAAATTTTAACTAAAAGATTTTATAACATGATTAACATGACCAATGCCTGAGGACTCCTATAGTAGTTCAATATATATGGCTACTATAGCCAGCGCTTGTAGCTTAAACGCGCATTGAGTTTTAATTTAAAAGTTATTCTTAAGAAAAATCTAATAATTAAACTGTGATCCAAGAAAAATTAGTGACTAACTAGGCTTAACAAGTTTTTCTCAGTTAATTTATTAAAGTGATTAACAATCAACCTACATGGAATATACATAGGTTGACTTATTCGTCAAATCGGAATTATTTCATTATGTCGATATATTACATTACTGCTTTCAATTGCCTATCACATACCTGTGATGATATAGGGTTTAGTCTAGTGTTTATCATTTGTGGTTTTTTATTTCGGATATAAAATACAGAACTCCTCCTTGTTAGATTTAAATCTACTAAAATGATTTGAAAAAATACATAGCACTACGACCGTTAGTGCCTTTCCATATCGAAAGCATTCGATTATTTTTTTAGCGGAGAATGTTTATTAGAGGTAATGAGCTAAGTTGTGTGCTTTTCCAGGCGTCAGATTAAGGAGTTTTAGCACCCAATAAAGAAATAGGAAATATATGAATACGATTAGTTGATACGTTGGCTTTTTTAAAATTAATTTTTAGATATGGAAACAATTTTTAAATTGAATAGCATTGTTTGAACTATTAATAAACTAATAATTAAACTATTATTGGAATAATACTAAACAATAACTATGAGGCGACCCATGCAGGCATTGGTTAATAGTAATAAATATATCAGATCGTTATATATCACATACTGTTAATATTATACCTATCCTAGTAACTATATTTAGTAATTTACTTAAACTTTTATATTAACAAGTCTAACTATACTTTTATATCTATAAACATCAGTCTCACATATACCGTCTAGTATGACGGTAAGCTCAGTTTATAGGGAACACTCTACTGTACTTTAACCACAGTAGGTAATCGGTATATAACTTAACCACCGATTCCTTATCGGTCACTTAATAAGGTCTAAAATTCTCTTCCAGATTTTAACAATTTTTCTACAAAAGCAATGAATTTTATTTTAAATGATTCCTTATTTAGCCAATTACCTTCATTATATTTATTTGTTTATAAATTTCATTAAGACTGATTAAGTTAACAGTAACGTTCTTACAACAACAACAACAACAACAACAAAATTGCAATAAATTTTTCTGACTGATTTATGAAAACAACAATAAACAATTTTGTTTACGAAGCGTCGTATACGTTTCCGACTGAAGTAATAACAAAAGCGGCGACTTTGCAAATATTTTTAGTTTAATGTTCGATTACACAGAACTGCATTACAATGCCATTAAATTGGTAAATATTTACCAACTTAATTAAAAGTAAATAAAGTTTATAATTGAAATAGTGGGTGTGTTAGCTGAAAATAACTTAAAATTTGTTGAACATATGATATACCTATGTGTAATTTTCTTATAATATAAACGTTAAGAGATATTGATAAAAATTAACTTCATTATCCCACCATCATCATCACCCAATTGGCTGAATTTTTTAAGAGTTCCTCAAAAACGGGGCTTTCCAGACCACATGCGATCGCGGGCCAATAGAAATCACTATACAGATTAGAAGACCGCAGAAACGAATACATAATGTTAAAGATAATTTTTTAAATTTATTAATTTAAATTCATTTATTTGGTATACCATGAAAATAAAATAATTTGGTTTTACTAGTACACCAAAATATAATTTGCATAATTGTGGTGGACTAAAAATATTTTGCGGGCTACACAAGCATAAGCCACGAGGCACAAGCGACCCGCGGGCCTTGCTTTGGGCAGCAATGCTCTAAAATAAAAATTTAAAACTTTTAATTTGACTGACATTTCTTTACTCGATCTTCTTATCTTATAGAAACACCCGTATTTTAAGGAAATATTAAAAGAAATGTTTTCCTAAGGACGTGTGCGAGTTAGGCTAAGTTGATGCTAAACCAAATCAGAGATTTTTTGGATTTTTTTGCACTGCACACATTTAGCCATTTATCAACACGTATCGATACATCACTATATTATCGGCACAACTTAGAATTTCACTCATTTATGGTGGAACGCAACTTAGCCTAACTCGCACACGTCCTTAGAGTTACAAACCCATTAAGCTATATTTTAAATAATCATATCACAGGCTCTGCAAATTGTAGAAACTTAAAGTTAGCTGTGTTTTAAAGATAACTGAGTTATAAGAATAACAGACCTTGAAAATTTGGGGTCTTGAAAATTTGGATTTTAGACTAATTTTTAAATTATCATATCTCAGGTTATCTGTATGGTAGAGACATAAAATTAACTGTATTTTTGAATTAACGGGTTAAGCATTTTATAAATATTATGTTAATTATAATAATCGACTATTATAAACAAAATTATTTTTTTTCAAACTATACATTAAATTTATCGTTAAATTGAAATCATTCAGACGCTATATATTCGCCCGTGCGAATCGTGGAGTAACATTAGCATGATTTATTACCATCCTATTACCATATTACCTTCCTAGTTTAAGTACTATACATAAGAAAAAATTATATACAAAATATTTAACAAATAATGCCTCTACAAACAAAATAGTATTGAAATTAAGCAATTAAAAATGAATATAATTAATTAATTCAATTATTCTATAGCTCGTTTCTGATTTCTTTCTAATATAAACACAGCAAGTGAATTTGTCAAGAAGACTTTCACAACAAATTAACAAAACTTCAGAAAAAAGTGCGAACATACAAGTCAAGTACGGCTTTGGGTCAGTTGGCTAATAAACGCTGACTCTGAGCTTCAAATTTGCAGGGCGTGAGTTCAATCCCTGGTACTTGCAATCTCAAAAATTTATTTACGAATAATTAAATACAAGATTTATTTCCAAGATCACTGATGATGGCAATACTCGAAACGGCTGTATGTCAGCTAAATATTCAATTAATTAAATTAATATAAAAATAATATTTGTTATTGTAGTTCACTACTTTTCGAAAACTCTTTAAAAAATTACCCCACAAAAATATTTTTTATTAAATATATAATATGCAATTCATTTAAATTTTTTTTATATTTTTTTTTTACAGTTGTACGGAAAAAAACCAACGAACTATCGCAAACTGCCATGGACATCATCACTATTGTCTGGTATGTGGCTACTTTCCTAGCATTGGCTGCATTCTTTCTATTGATGGCCTGTTCCGATCGTCGATGCGCTGATACGCGCAATAATAACGGAAACGTTGCTAATAATAATGATGCTCCTCGTTCTCCACCTACACCATCGCCCTCTTATAGCGAATTCGCACCGCCTAGTTACGATACTGTTATCAAGATGCAGAATGATGTCAAGACAAGCGTTTTCCTGATACCATTCTCGTTGGAGACACCATCTACTAAAGGTGCCGACAGCGTTATTACCAATCCTGGTAATAATGATAACATAAACACTACACACCAACCCCAAACGCCTACCACACCGATCGTTAATGTGTACACAGTCAACGAATTGCAAAAATTTAGTAGCTAATAGCAATTTGACTATTTCTCAGTACCTATGATATATACTATACGTACATATTTATATAATTATAAGTCCAAATGAAAAAGTCTCAAGTAAAACTGTGATATAGTTACTAATTTTTTATATGATTATGTTGATAAAATGAATATTTAATTTCTTTTTATGAAACGTTCGAATCGTGGAATCGTAGAATCGTGTGAATCGTTTGAATCGTTTCTAATGAGATACTTTGAAGACTGACTGAGGATATGCCAAGAATCATATATTGTTATAAAGTCATTAAATTAATCGAAATAATAATTCGTACCACGAAATTGTCTAAAATATTATATAAAGCGCATTATGTATTAAATAGTATTTTTAATAATAAAAATTAAAAATGAAATAAAAAATAGTTAAATGTATTTAATGAATGTTTTTTCTTAGCGATTTGTCAAAGTGCACATGTTCTTAAAAAAATTATAATTATCAAAACGAAAAAATTGATAAATCACACGTAAGTGGCACTTAATTTGATTTAAAATTAAATTATTTGATAAAATGAGGCGGCAATACGGACAGCGAGAATCCATTATATTCCAGAAGCAAAGCTTTTCGTATGAATTTTTTTTCGAATCTTAAAGTATTAAAAGATCACAAATTTTAATTCAATTTTTTTAGTAAACAAAGAAATTAGCAACCTAAGTTATAAAATACAAACAAAAAAAAAAAGAAAAAAAAACCTGAAGACAGAAATAAGCAAATTTTTTTATAAAAATTCAACGATTTATCAAAAATTATTTTTAACGGCTCGGCTTGTTTTGCTCTGAGAACTGGAGAACTGGAGAACCGGCCGTTATCATTAAAGTGGCTAATAAAAATTCAATATTTGCTGTTTAAATTGTGAAATTAGCATTTCCAATCAACGATAATTTTGATTATTATTTTTTTAAATAATTTTTAAATTCAACACTTTAATAATAACAGCAAAAATATTTTAAAAACTGAATGAAGCAAAGAAAATGGGAGTTGTACTTTCCCACAGAACAAACGGCATATCCATTGAGATCATACAAACATTCCAAACAGTATTGTCCTACGAGAGTCATATTTATATTTTAAGCCTAATAAAAAAAATACTAACTTGTCGTTGAAAATTGCTTCATTGATTTCCGAAGTATTCTTCTTCATGATAAACACACTTTTGTATGTATTCGAACCATTTGAAAAGAATTCTTTCCAAATTTCTTCAGACACCTCCAAAACATGCAAAAAATTGTTGTCCACGCAATTTATTTCTAACGTTCAGGAACCTGAAAAACCCATTGGGTGCCAAATCAGGACCGAAATCAGTACGGCGGATGAACCATCAATTCGATTTTTTGAATGTTCAAATAGTCGAATGTTAGACGAGCTCTGTGAGCACTCGCATTTTCTTTATGGAGAATGATCAGACGGCACTTGTTTGTTTTCCGTATTTCACTGAAGACTTCCAGTAAACAAATGATTGTATACCATTCGGAATTGACCCTTTTACGTTCCTGTAGTGGTATGGATATAGTTGCTACATGACTTATTTTGAAGTTCTTCAAGCGCGAACAACTTTTGTTGGATTTTGTTCATCTTGAAACAATCTTGAAATTCTTATAAGCAAAAAGGAGAAAAACTAATATTAGTAATTGGGTCTTATTAATTACTTTTAAATAAATAACTTTTTTATCTATATTTCATTAAATGTGTTAGACAAACTAGTCTGAATGCTATGTTCAGTTTAGCTAATAAAGACGTCTCTAAATCTTAATACGTTTTAACAAATTTAAAGAAGTTATTGGGAAGTCAACTGTTAGAAGTATGTTTCATTATTATAAGAAGGAGTATAAAGTCAAAAGGATTTAAGTGATGTGAAGAACAAGTATACAACAAAAACAAAAAAAAATGGTTTAAACTTGATACCTCATATCATTGTTTGATATGACATCAGTTGATATGAGAACCCATTGTTAGTACTCACGGTGTATACTTCGTAATTCACCTTTTATAATAAATGATGTTAATTGTGATGTTTATCATAAGTGATGTTTAGTTCTTCGTTTTTATATATTTCTAAGGGTTATCTAATGCATGCGACCAGATGATCGTCGATTTTTAAACTTTGGAAAATATTGTAATTTAAAATAAAAACATCAACATATATGGTAATGAATGATCATTTGATCTCCAGTTAACGTGGCGCTTAAAAGAATATGTAGTTTCACCGATTTTTCACCGAAGTACTTACTGTTGCTGTTAAATTGCTTTTCCTTTCTACTTCAATTTTTATTCATATATAACAATGACATCATGCTGGTAAGACTTTATAACCTTTTCTGTTATTGTTTTACGCCGTTTAAATGCCATATAGATCCCTGGAACAATCGATCAAATTCGACAGTATCTTCTGCGTGGTGTTAAATACCATTTTGAGTTATATTGTAGGTTACAAGACTATGGTTGATATTATTTTTATTGTGAAGGAAGAGTATTAATACTGGAACTAAGATAAATCTACTAATAACTCTATTATTATATATATATATTTTTGTGATGTGTTGGTGCAAAAGTTATCTTTCATCAGTCTTTGTAAAATTATATGATTTGATGTGTATTAATTTTTAAAGTATATATTTAAACGCTTCAAATGAATTTTTTATCCATGCTAGGCTTTCAGTCTGTAAAATGATTAACATGAGTCATAAAAATGACAATGATTAATGGTCACGAACGTGGAGTAAGATTTTAGTAAAACTGCAGTTTAGTGAGGTTGGACCAAAAGCTAATAAAAGTCATTTTTATAATCCATTTCCTATTAAGAGAACGTTGATCTTAAATTTTTCCCATTGGTATAAAAATCACTGTTATTATGCCTCGAAGATGAGGAAACGACAATGCACATTCTTTGTGATTGTCCAGTTTTAATAACGCACAGAAGAAACCTGTTTCATAAAGAATTTCTGTCACCAGAGCAGATTAAGAACTCTTCTCTAGATTTAGTTCTAGACTTTATTCACAATGCTTTAAGGGGCTTTGTTTAATCAGTAGTGAAACTGGTACAATAGGACTCTTCTGGCCCCCGTATCGGTTGTTGGGCAATTTTCACGTCTACTCTTTAATAATAATAATAATAATAAAAATCACTGCTATTATAAAAAATCTATAAAAAATGAGTATTAATTGTTCTTCAAGTAGTAGTCGTTTCATATATGGAAAACCGGAACTGATGAGTTTTATCGGCTCTGTTGGCAGCCAATAAGGGTCAATAGAAGTAGCAGCAGTAATAAAAAATCTTAATTTTTGAACGTTTTAATGTTTATATTTATATTTAACTAGAATTTGGACATTACTTTTAAAATCATTTCTTTTTATCTAAAATTAAAAATCAAAGTTAAAAAATAAAATGAACATGTAGAAAAGAATGGATTGCAATATATAATATATATACTGGACAACTGACTTTTAAGTTATAAATTATTATTTAATTCATTTATGAATTTTGAAGTGAACTCCATTCTAGAAACTAGTCTATATTTAGAAACCTGAAATTGGTTTAAATTAAAATTATCTTACAGAACCATGACTTTAAATATCATGTTTAAATACCTGTTCATTACTAATGATTACGTTTACGATACAAAAGTAACAAATTTTATCATTAACACCAAATTTATTAAAATCTAAATTAATTAACCCATATCTTGCCGTACAACTCTATGTTATCATGGTTTACGTAGAGCTATAAGCAAATAAGCTTGAGTCAAAAATATTCAAAATTCAGACACGACAAATTCAGGTCAGACATTATTCCCCTATAAAATGTGTGAAAATGAAAAATATTTACAAATAGTGACAGTTTTAGTATATAAAAATTGATGATCGGGTGAAGGTTAAATTATCGATATGAAATTAATTGAATTAATTAATTGAAATTAAATATTCTACTACAATTGTAGTAGCCTATTAGTCCCATTTAAAATGAATAGAGAATGTCTGCAGGGAAGATGTTTCGTTTCGCTAAATAGTATATACAGGTCAAAGAATTGAGAGAGTAGTCATACGAAAGGATATAAGTGAAATGTATTTTCAATATCAACAGTCCTGTATTTAAGTTCATCTGACAAAAATTTCGTTTATAAAAATCTCAATCTTAAAATAATTTATCCCAATAGTTTCCTAATGTATATTAGTCGAAAAATCCAAACATAATATTATTTGAATAAGACCGTTCAAATTTTTTGAAGTAGTTAATATATATTGATTTAAAATAATATATGTACTTTACATATGTATTCAAATTTCTCCTTGAGAACAATTTTTTTTCTTATAACACATAACTGATCAAAATACAATATATACATATGTATTTCACCTAAATTTATATATTATGAGTTTGATGTGAAATGTTTAAATTAGCACATCAAAAGTAGAATATGTCTAAAATAGTTTAAATAATTTAATTTCGGCCCTCCTCGTTAGTGGTAAGACTGTCTCCGGCCTTTTATTTAATAATAATAATATTTTTATATAAATCGAAAATCTGAATTTTGTTGTGGTTAAAGGTTCCAACCAGTTTAGTCGCCGTTAATTTTTATTTCGTCACAAATTATTTCGAGAAGAATTTGGCGACTTTTTTATTAAATGAGATGAAAATGCTGATTGAGCTAATCAAATGTGTCTGAAATTAACAACATTAACAATTTATAAAACGTATCTGCGTATCTTCAAAATTTTACATTCATTTGATTTTAGAACCTGATTTGTATTGATTTCTGAACAATTATAATGTAATTAACATAACCAAGTTAATTCGACAATAATGACAATAATGTAGACGCAGGCGAATTTTTTTCAGTGATTTTTAATTTTTTAATTAATATTATAAAAAATGCTTTCGTTATTGTTGAAATAAGTATCGGAAGTATTATTTTATCATAGTTTTAAAAAAAATGTTGCAAGAGATGCAAAAACATTTGTTGCTGCTGAGTTTCTACGAAACATGTTTATGAAATTTTGGCTGCATTCATATTTGTAATCTAATATAGCTTCCTAAATGATTAAGTAAGGGGGATAAAACTGTTTGCTTACCTATATAGTATGTGCAGGTGTTAATACATTTTAGTCAAAATAGTTTTTTTTATAACACTTAAGTCATCCAATACTGTTTATTTTTATTTATTTGTGAGTTTACATTAACTTTAATTTTAAATTTTACTAAGAATAAGGAACTGGACTGCTAGGTCCTTTGCCCTGTACTTATAATTATTTTGAGAATTATACCTAAATTTAATTTAATACATCCAATACTGTTAATGTACTTGATGCTTATGAAATTAGTTCAGGTAAGCACATAAGAGCAGTATTTATATATACTGCTATAAGAATATAATGTAATGATATAATAAAGCCTATTATAAATATTAAATTTATACAATGATATACAGTTCAGAGAACAGATTTTAATATATAGTTACCATATTATAATATATATGTATTCTTTTTGATTACATTAAACCAAATCAGCAAACCAATTAGAAGGGCTAGGTATCATTGTATTATAAAGGTTTAAACAATTTTTGGTTTTTATTCAGTGCATTTATTTAATGTAAATTTAGTATTTAAAATACTGACTTTATGAAAGAAATACGTATTAAATATAGTATTAAGTAAAAATTTGTTTGATACTATATATCAATAGTAGGTAACATAGATTTTATAGTAGTAGTAGAAATTAATATTTTTTAAAGAATACAAGATTTTTCCCAATAACAACACAAACAAAAATTGTTTATTGCATAAACATTATTACATGTTTTTTGTACAATTTTTATTTTCTTTTCTATTGTTGTTTTTCTTTGTTGTCATTATTAGTATTGTATGATTTTTTTTGTAATTTTCTGTTATAAAATTGAATATTGTATATTTTGTTTACAATATAAATATTTTATATAAAATATAAATATTTATATTATATATATAAAATATATATTTTTTATTATAAATAATAAACTATAGTGTTTTTATTTCTACTTAAATTGATCAATTAGCCCGTTAATAAATTATTTTATTGTATAAATGTAACTAATATTTGTAACCAGAAACTGATTTATTTAGGACGACATGTTTGCGCGTTTCCAACAACCAATGTCCAATTTGTTTGAAGAAATGTATTTTTGAGTTTATATAAAGATAAAAGATATATCATATTTTAAAATATTATAATAACGTAAAATAATATATTTTTTTAATATTTAAAACATTCGTATATAAGTTACAAATTGTATTTTCTTTTAAATAAAAATAAAACACAACCGATTCGTTTGATTCGTCTTTATGGAATGTATATGATGAAAATAATAACTTATGTCTAAGATTAAACATCACTTCCAGTTTTGCATGTAAACATTACTATAAAAGACAATGTTGCTTTAAATTGAGATTATGTTAATATATAAAATAGAAGCGTTGATTCGAAGTGATTTTATGTTTACATTAAATTAGAGGTGTGGAAGTGTATGCAGTACATTATATATTTAAGATAATTAGTCAGGGATATGACTATGTTACTTTATACTTTATAAAACATATCTATTATTACTATAAAAGCATATAATGGTAAAATTAGATATCGATAAGGTTTGTAATACACAAAACGGATAAATTGTTATAGCTGGCACAGAGTATACTCTGTTATATACTTGTTCTCGTTGTATGCAGTCACTATCACTTGCAAAAGAAATCTTAGTTCTATCTGAGCTTAGCTATAGCTTATTTTCTTATTACAAAATTGTTGCTTTGCACTTGGGCTAGATGGAAATTTTATATTGTATTTTGCTTTGAAGCGATCGTAATCATTACGCAAACTATTAAATAAAATTAAAATGATTAAAATAAATTATTAAAATATTGTTATATAAATACATACATTCAGTAACTTCTCGTAGTGTACACTTTGTTAGGATCAAAAATCTTTTGTAGCTTTCCATGTAACACCAACAATTTTAATGATTTTCATGTGATGGTATAGAAACAGTTTGATGATTAGATACTAATTCTAATATAGCATTGTTATTTGAAATTTACTTCTTCAACCAACACTTTATCATTTAATTTATCTACCATAGCTGGGAGATTAGTGTACAAATATTTGCTTTTGTTTGTGGCACAATGTCATCAGTTTTGACAGATTCTCATTGAAGTATTATATTGCGTGGTAACTGACTGAGTTTTTGTAACAAAAAGTTTTTACACAAGCAGTTATCGCGTAGGTCACCACTGCATTATTTTCCTCCAGCTCGGTGTTTTGACAGTTTTTTCATATAACAGGACTCAAAAAGTACCTATTCATTTTCGATGTTTACTGCTTACTAATGCTGTAATAAGATCAATAATAAATATTTTTCTTCAAAAATAGAAGCTCTAATCTTACCTGTTTCAATAAAAATACAGGTGGTTTATGCTTCTTAAATAGACCAGTTTAGTTTTATGTCAATCTGTTGAAATGTATTGTCAGCTACACCGGTCTGCTCCACTCACGCTAATTACGTTTTTAAAAATGAGATTCCTTTCGAGTTTACATTCATTTGGTATGCATTGATTTTACTGGGTACAGATGTTTTGAGGTACTTTTTATGCCATAATTCTATTTATAAATGAATTAATTTACATTATCAAAAGAATAAAATTTCGTGAGTGAATGTTCTGAACTCCGGCGTGATATGTATGGTCAATAGTCCATTGAAAGATGGAAGCGCATTGTGTTTTGTTTTTCAGTACTTTTAAATTTTTATTAATAAATATTATTTAATTCTTTATGCGCACCAATTTTTGAACTTTAAACACTTCAAAATCACAATGCAATATCAAAACACAATATTATACAGACTATCAACAATAATTTACAGCGGCGTTAACAAGAGATGTGTTCATAAAACAAAAGTAAAATGTTTTTGTATTCACGCTACGTTCAGTAACAGTGGGTTTAATATTTTTATACGTGAGTGTTATGAGTACCACATGGTATAACATATTTTAATTATCATATTAATTCTACATAGTAAAATGTAACTACAATATATTTATATGTAATTTAACATTTTCTAAATTCATAAATATATAATATATATGTGAAGCATTATGTGAGCAGACCATAGTTATATATTACTTTATAGACAGTAATTGGTTATTGAGTTTTGAGATATGTTTGAATATAAAAAACTTCAGCAATTTTTAATAATAAAATATATTACTGAAACGTACTCAAGAAGTAAAAAGGTCATCATTTTAGAAATATTAAAATCGTGATGATGTATTGTGTGTGGTATTGGAGTGTTTTGTCATATAATAATAAAGGTAATAAAGGATAGCACATTCTTTTATTATAGACAGAACTCTGAAGCTATTCGCGAAAACTGTAAGACTGCACTGACTGACTGTCAGAATAATCACTAGCCGCTTGGGGCGGAACGCAGATCTTAGATCTGTCAGCGAATAATCACGAAGCTTTTGATGAGTACATAAATTTGTAAGCGAGAAGGGTGTGAATCTGCAGAAACCCCCCAACAAACAAATAGTATAAGTGCCTAGATGCACTAACTCGGAAAAGGTTCAACATAACACTTTTTTGTTAACAGGCATAATTATAAAAAATGCAGTAGTAATTTAGTTTGTTTTTCTGTCAAGCAAAAATACTTTTCCAATAGCTGATGCTTTAACAGGTTTTAATTAACTTATTAAATTATTTTTCTAGAGCCGAAAATTGTGAATATTTTTTAATTATTATTTTTTATATATAATTTATCCGTTCACGAAGTTCTTGTTTTTCGAATTAACCACTGTAATAGAAACCGCTGTACAAAATCAAACTAACAATACCAAGAACAAATAATAATGTCAGGGAAATCATATATTGTTTTAAAATATGTATTCAATCTGTTTATTTCGATGCATTATGATAAAGGAAACGTTTCCTTTTTTTCATTTTTTTTATACAATTGAGTTTATATATAATAAATTGATATTATAAATATATTGATAAACTAATAATATATGAATTATTAAAAATTCAGGGGTAGTTTTGCGTTTTAATTGTATTAAATACAAAATTATTTGACTTTGACTTCGGAAACAACCGCTAGGCGGTGCTTACAACTCATATCATAATTGTTATTTATTATAATATATATAAAACTATTTCGGTAATTTTATCGCATACAGCAGAGTAGCGCGGGAATATGTTGTTTTTCTACAAATCAATTAACACCTTTTTAAACTTTTTATAAATAATAAAATTTAAATATTTTATATTAAAGACACATTATAAACCGTAATTTTTTTTGCTTGATTGTTGATTCAAAATAATTAGAAGTAGTTCTTTGTATTCCGCTAGACACATTTTGTAAATTGACTCACATTCACAGATATTTTAATTTTCAATTTATTTTAAATTGAATTAATTTTTTATTGAAAAACGTATATTAACATATTATATATAAAATGCAAACAATAATAAAAAATTAGTATATTATTAATTGATATATTATTTTTTAATGTCTTGTACTTTTGTATACTTTTATTAATTATGAATTATTAATAACTGAATATATTAGTTCTGCGAACTACTTGTAGCAACTGCATATACACAAGTGCCTTCCACCAGCAAATTTTCGAGTAAATGAGAGTGCAACATCCCTGTCGTACTTTAAAAATGCTACGTAGACTTTACTCGTAGATTTTTTTTGAAGTAAAATTTGTGTAATGTGTGAATCAGCTGTTTCGGTTTGCATTTAAATTTTTGTATTGTTTATTTGCGCGGCATTGGTGTTCGCACCAAACTTTACACAAATCTGTGTAAGGAGCGTAATTTGTCACTTTATATATGTTACGCTCTCAGTTTATACTATAGTTCGTGGAACGGACCTATTATCTCAGAGTGCTAAAACAAAAAAATATCATTTCCTGCATTGTTTTTGACAAAGTTATTGTTAAAACCTTGTTTTGTGTAAATGGGTTATTTTCTGCGATTTTATTTTTTCTTGAACAATTCTTTCGAACAATATTTTTGTTTCAAAATTAAATTTGTTTGAAAAGTGGCCTTTTTTACTCAAACAGCTTTTTTCATTATGTCTGTTTTCAGACAGGTTTTTCATTATGCCCGTACATAAACCCATACAGATGGTAGGTATTTTGAGATTATAGATGATTTAATATTACTACCCAATATACAGATTAATATTGTCATTGTCAGTGACATTTTTTAAACTGTCATACAAAGCATCGTTTAAATAAAAACAAAGTTTTCTAAGTTGTGAAAACTGAATTAAAAAATGGTGACGATTTTTTGCATCGAATTTTCTTCAGTGATGAGGTACATTTTGTGTTTGTTGGATATGTCGATATGTGAACAGTTGAGGAATGTCGTATTTTCCACATATTAATAGAGTCATAAAATTTAATCGAAATCTTTACTATAATTGTATTTTTAAACGTTTAAGTTTTGGAATTCCAAAATGGATAAGACTTTATCATAAATTTAAGTTTTCTATTGTATATGGTATGCTATATGGATTTTTATAATTTTGCACCGTTTTGAATATTTAACCTATGTTAACTTAGTCAAGATGTTTGTAGAACATTGAGAAACTACCACTCATATTATAGAAAAGCAAGATAATTTGAATTGATTTGTCAAAATACTTCCTTCTCTATTATTATTCAAGCTAATATCTTCACTGATCGTACGGAAGAAATTATAGAGATTATTGTGAATTCAGTCATATAAATTTGACAACTAGATGAAATTGATTAACTATGTTATTTGGCTTACTAACTTTACCATGTTTTGAAATAGAATGATAATTATATTAAATTTTTCTTTGGTTTTTAGTTCTATTAAGTAACACTTACATTTCTTCATTCTCTAAAATTATTCTTTTGTTCTTATTTTGTTTATTGTGCTATTAACTAGCATCTTTTTACTCTATTTTTTCGCGTTTAGGGTACGTACTACGTAATACTCGATTTAATATACGATTGTATATTCTAGATACGTTAAGCATTGATTGTTTATGCGTGTGAGTGAAGAAGTTCATATGCAATCTAACATTTTTTAATTATAATTTAATTACTTTAGTAAATGATGTTAAGAATATTTTTTCTCCATTTAGTAGGGGGTTTTTAAATGGTTTTAGTTGGCTATTGTGTATTTTAGCATGTATCTTTGAGCAAAGTTGCTTATTTTAATGAATATCTTTAAGCTAAGTTGAGCACTAACTGCATGGAATGATTTTTCTTCATAATGAAGTTTTTTAAACTATAATTAATATAAATATAAAAACATCGGCAAGTATTTTTATATCATATGGTGCCCACTATAATACACAATCAAATTTAATATGAATCCAAAAAATTATTTGGAATTACAATTATATTATTGACATAATTAAATATATTTCAATTTTAAGCCAGTCGTGCTTTTTCTTTACTATTAGGCTATAAAAAGATGGCTACTGATTACTCTAGTGTAAGGAACATTACTGTTTCATTACTGACTGAAATTTTGTGTAACAATTTCGCACATCAAAATTGCTTGTTGGGATGCTACCCTGCAGGTAGCATATGAAGGCTTCTAGGACATCTTTGAGAGGAGAGTAGTCATCTTTTTCAATTGTGATATAATCATTTCCTGCCATTGTGAGACTTAAACCCACTAAAATCACCTTTTAGGAAAGAATGGAAATGATTTCCACAGCAATGTGGGAACTTCATTCCACTAATTAAGGCAGAGAGATGTGAGCAGATAAGTTGAATACCTTGCGGAGTAGGTTTATCTAAGCCAGAAAGCATGGGCGTAGAGTATGGAGAAATTGGGCCTGAGTGAAAGAGGCGATAATTTCTTGCTTTGTTATAGATTTGTATAAATATTCGTACTAGTAGGATAACTGATAGTTCAGTTTAACAATAGAGCATTTTCAGTTCATAATGCTGAAATATATTATGAGTTTTTGAATTATTTTTTATTAATTTTCAAGCTGTGCAGTTTCAGTAGTGATTTAGCTATAATTAATGTTTTTATCAGTTTAAATTACAACTATTTTAAATTCTAAAAAATTAATTATAATTTTTAAAATATATATATTAAATAGTATAAATATTTAAGAGTGTTATGCTTAGAACTTACTGTATTCTTATTGTTTTGTATTTACATCACTATATTTTCTATTTTCTATCTAATTTATACTGGCTTGCATTTTTCATCAGGTAATAAAATGATCCTATCAGATAATAAGAGACGATTCTATTTCTATAAGTTTTTTGCCTGTGATTATTTTTTTAAATTTTATTCATTTATTTATTTCATATATTGGTATTTCAGTCTGAAGTATCGTTGACTAGCGGCTCGAGTATTCACCGGATTTCGCTAGTTAAGAGCCGAGATTGATAGAAAGCAGATGCAGTATTGGGTTAGCAGTTCAAGACGATTATAACAAAATACATACTTAGAAAGATGTAAATAGAATAAAGCTATTGTTGCCATAAAATATTATATCTTTTTGTTGTAATGTTATCATTAGTTTTTAGAAGATATTAAATATCTTCTAAATTATATTGAATATTTTTTTGGAACTTGTAAAACAATTTAATATCTGTCCTGTCTGCAGTATATTTTTCATTGAGAAATACTGACATCGACTATATAAAAGATCAATAAATTGATAATTATTTTATCTTTATAAAACTTCTTTTACATATCAGAAGTTATTAGGTGCCATTATCACCTAATTAGTGGTGGGTGTTAAGGTGTCGAGGTCTCAAGTGAAGAAAAAATTAATAACAATTATAAAAAAAATTAATAAAAATAGGGCTTCATTTCCATACATTGTTTTTTAATTACGATTGTATAAAAGCAATAAATTTTGGGGCTCTATGAAACACAAGTTTTGGTTAAGCTTATATTTTTTGTTTAGATTAGGTTAT